TATTGTTCACTTGAAGTTGAATATTTAAATTTTCCAAAAAAAAAAAAATTTTAATTCCATAAAGACCTGGGGTTCTGAGCCACATTTTCTGAAACATTGCTTTAGAGTAGAGGGCATAAGATACCGTTCCCTGAAGATGGTACCATTTTTGTACATTCCCAATTCTGGGCTACTCTGGAGACGCCTGCAGTACAATTTGAACAATAATAAGGGACTTCTCAGGCTGCCCTGTGGCCCACAGGGCTGCCAAAATACCTGTACTGCAGCCTAACCCCCTGAGACATTTCTTGTGGCCATACCCTTGGAATGCCCCCTACAGTATGCCCGAATCAACTCAGAGAAGCTTCATCATGGTCTTCCACAATATCTAAGCCAAGGACATCTTCTCTGCATTAAGAAGCAAGCCTGCGGTAAGTATCTCACCAAAAGACTCAGCAATTCTGTTGACAGTTCAGTTCCTTTACCCTATAGTCTACTGGCTCTCCAAAAAGAAAAAAATAACAACATAATAATGACTCTGAAGTGAGCAAATGGGATCCTAATTACATCAAGTCAGTTGACTACACTTCTATAATTTCTGCCTCTGCAGACTGAGATTGTTGCAGCAAAAAGTAATTTATACGTGCATCTGTTCCACCAGTTTGTACTTGCAAGTTTTTGGTCTTTTTTGATCCAATTGAACGTCTTCAATGAAGTCAATTTATCTTCTTTATTCACTTTTGAATTACTGTAACGTAATTTGCACTGACTAGTGTGTTGATTATTCTTGCCACTATAATTTGCATGTCCTTTCTAGATGGTATTGTTGTGTCCTTGTACCAGAAGGGGAAAGAACTGTAAATGAGATGCTCTACTTAAACATATTTAGCATGTTGCAATGTTGCAGAAACATTGAAAAGCTAAAAAAAAGTGAATGTTCTGACTTACTTTCGCATTGAGAGGACACACAGACAGAGCACTCCTAAAAAGTTGTTCTTCAGATCTCCACTGATTACTGCGGATAATGCAGCGCATCACGTTTATCAACAAGATTCCCAGTATAGCAGCAGTAAGAATTTTCTTAAAGATGACACAGGTTTAGAAAAAAAAAGAGAGAGAGAGAGATCTTTCAGTATTAAAGCCCTTTTCCTAGTCTTGACCATCAATTGTATTGACTGTTTTGTCGGTACCTTTTTCTTGGCTTGTTTGCTCAATAAACTAAATCCATATATAAACAGAATGCAATATCCAATACTGGGAAGGTAGATGACTCTTTCTGCAACAACAAATCCTACTCGAAAGAACAGGTTACTTGCAGGAAGGAAAGGGATAATCAGGAACCCCAGTCCCAGTGTAAGAATTCTGGAAAGAAGAAACAGATGCTCATATTAGTAACCAAATACAGAGGAAAACTATTATAAAATTATTATTACTGTTTATTGAACTCTGGGGGTTCCAAAGTGCCTTAGTCTGTACATAGAGGTTGGAGTATTCAAAAGAACCTTGGAGAGGCTGATGCCCACCTACCATTGAATTTTAGTGGGATGTTTGGGTATCTAACATCCTCTGGTTCCTTTAAAATCCAAGCCAGAATTCCCACAAAAGTAAACCAGAGGCAAGTTCACATATCCAGGGTAGAGTATGACCTGAACAAACTGGTAATCATTAGTTCTGTTCCCTTCAAATATACAGGCAATAAAATGACCTCAGACATTTAGACACTTTTCTAAAACTATTAAGTGAGAGATAAAGGAAAAAAAATATTTAAGTGTTTACTGATATTTAAAAAACCAAATCAAAAGTTGAATTTCTAATAAGCTTTGCTTGCAATAATGGTTTTGTTCAGTAGAAAACCTACCAAAGACACCACATTCACTCAAAGCTGATGCATTCTTTATGAAGGGCAAATCTGTATCAAGGTACCTACATATTTTAAAAAAAACAACACAAAAACTGTTGGCTGCTCACAGATGTTAAAACACCCCAAAATATGGTGCTCTACTTTAAACTCAGTGCACTCCTGTGCTGAGCTCAGCACATTCCCAGAAAATGCATGACATTAGTTGAACCTGGCTCACCCAACATCCATATAGATTGGGCAGTTTAGCGGGGGGGTTGGCACTTTTATCGAATATCGATTTTTTGGGCCGATTCCAATGGACAATTTTTAAGAAGCCATATCGGCCAATACTGATCCAATTCTGACGTGCAGCCAGATAGTTTGGAGACCAGCATTGGGCTGGTACGTGGTGTGAGGGAAGGGGTGGGAGGAAGAAAGGAAGGGGCATGGGGGGTCAGATCAAGGCCCCCGCAGTGAGGGAGGGAGTGGGGCTGGGGTAGGTGCTGCTCAGCTGGGATGGGGCACAGGATGGAGCCACGGCTTGTCCAAGGCGTGCGAAGGCGGAAGGCATGGCTCCTGCCGCTGCATGCACCACAGGAGGGCATGGGGGAGTGTGCTCCCAGATCTGCAGACAGGCCGAGGGCAGGCTGCTGCTGTGGGATGGGGCAGGGG